CCTGTCTTAACTGCCTGTAACAGCAGTGCATCGCGCACGCCGCGCGTTTGCCCTCATTTCATCCTGATTGTAGCCCTCTGAGGAGGAAGCTGGATGGAGAGGTTCATAACACACCTAATAACCAGCCCTTCTTGGTGGGCGACAGGGCCAGGATAGTCCCAGGCTGTTTGTTTGCACACCGGTCCGTAACCACTGTCCGCATTGCCTCTCACTCTGAATCGATGCTGTCCACGAGCCCTACAGGGAAAGAGACAGAGAGAAGGAAGGAGCCAAAGGAGAAAAGGCAGAGAGAAGGGGGAAAGACCAGGAGAGTGTGCAGTGGCCACACGTGAGCAGTGCTGCCAAGAGACCAACAGGGCCAACTGCAGTGTCTGCAAGTGCACTGGTGTCCCCGTTAATCCTCCGTGACCAGACTCAAAGTCAGGGGAGGCAAGTCCAGGTGGAGGAATCTCACTAACAATGGCATAGGGTGTACAGAGTTCTCAAGGGTGAAGAGAGGCCAGAGCACTTTCCATTCAAAAATGCTGCACCAGGCCAGGCACAGTGGCTCACACCTGGAATCTCAGTACTTTGGGAAGCTGAGGCAGGTGGATCACTCTAGCCCAGGCGTTCAAGACCAGCCTAGGCAACATGACAAGACCAGCCTGGGCAACATGACAAGACCCTGTCTCTACAAAAAAAAAAAAAACCACACACACACACACACACATAAAATTATAGTCCTGGGAGGCTGAGGTGGGAGGATCGCTTGAGCCTGGGAGGTCGAGGTTGCAGTGAGCAGCAAGTGTGCCACTGTACTCCAGCATGGGTGACAGAGTGAGACTCTGTCTCAAAACAAAACCAAAAAAAAGCTGCGCCATAGCTAGAGGACGGGAGGATGAGCAAAAGACAAGTAAACACCGCATCAGTGACCCCTGGGAAACAGAATAAAGGAGAAATCAGATACATAGTTGTTCATGTTCAAAACCAGGAACGATAATATGGCTCCTTAGGGGAGGAGGCTTAAAGTAGATATGAAAGAGACTGGGGCAGAGATATAAGATTACATCCCAAAGAGGGCAAGGGTGAACGAGAAGAGCTCAGGAAAGGAAAAGAAGAGAGGGTCCGGGGAATGGCTCATGCCTGCAATCCCAGCACTTGGGAGGCAGAGGCAGGAGGACTGCTTGAAACCAGGAGTTGAAAACCAGCCTGGACAACATAGACCCTGTCTCTTAAAAAAGAAAAGTGCTGATCATAGGTGCACACCTGTGGTGGCAGCTACTCGAGAGGCTGAGGTGGGAGGATGGCTTAGGCCTGAGAGCTCCAGACTGCAGTGAGCTATGATTGTGTCACTGCACTCCAGCCTGGGGTAGAGTGATACCCTTTCTCTATTTTTTTTTGTTTTAATTTAACCAAAGAAGTGAATCAAAATGAAGAACTCTAGAATAGAGAAGCTTGACAAAATACTGTAGTCTGGTGGTGGCTCACACATGTAATCCCAGCACTTTGGGAGGCTGAGACAGGCTGATCACTTGATCCTAGGAGTTTGAGACCAGCCTGGGCAACATGGTGAAACCACATCTCTACCAAAACTGCAAAAATCAGCCGGGCATAGTGGTGCGCCTGTAGTCCCAGCTGCTAGGGAGGCTGAGGTGGGAGGATCCATTAAGACCAGGGAGGTCAAGGCTGTAGTGAGCCACTGCACTCCAGCCTGGTGACAGAGACTGTCTAAAAACAAAACAAAACAAAAGTCAACCAAATAAAAAAAAGCAAAAAAACCCTGTGATCTGTAGTAAATAATTTAACCTTGTCCAAAAAGAGGTCTGGTTTTGCGTTCAGCTTATGGGAGGGAATCCCTAAGCTCTAAGACTATCAGGCCTGATAGGAGTGTCTTTGTTTTCTGTGGGTCACATTGAATAGCTAACAATGTGATTTCAGGTAGGGACTGGTCAAACTGGAAAGTCCAACAATGTAATGTGATGGCTTTGAGTCACACCCAGAGGGGCTGCAGGCTGGAGACAGAGACCAGCATGTGAATCATCTGTCATACTTATGTGATGAGGCCCAAGAAAAACTCTGGACACTGAGGCTCATGTGAGCCTCCCTAGTTGCCAGCACTCCTATGTTCTGCTACACATGGATGCTGGGAACAGGAGGCTGACCCACAGGGAGGACCACAGCAGCTGTGCATGGGGTAGTCCCCAGACACACCCAGTGGGCATCCTCCCTTGGTTGATGGTCATCTGCACCCAGAAGGATAAGATGAGTCTTGCTGGGGGTGGTGGCTCACACCTGTAATCCTAGCACTTTGGGAGGCCAAGGTGGGTGGATCATGAGATCAGGAGTTCGAGACCAGCCTGGCCAATATGGTGAAACCCTGTGTCTACTAAAAATACAAAAATTAGCTGGGTGTGGTGGCATGCACCTGTAGTCCTAGCTACTAGGGAGGCTGAGGCAGAAGAATCACTTGAACCCAGGAGGCAGAGGTTTCAGTGAGCCAAGATCACACTGCACTCTAGCCTGGGCGATAGAGCGAGACTCCATCTCAAAATATAAAATAAAATAAAATAAAATAAATAATGAAAGGATGAGTCTAACAGCTTCTAGTTAGCTCTGTGAGTCTTTCTAGCAAGTTATCAAAACTGAGAGTGGTTTGGGGAAGCAGTGATCAGAAGAGGTGGTCTTGGGAACCCCTAAACTTGCAATTGGTGTTGAAAGTGAGCATGGTCTTCTGTGTGGGCTGTGTTTCCTCCAACTTCACAGTTGGTTAAACTTCACATGTGGCAAACATTTGAACATTTAAATATAAAATTAGGACTTCCACTTCTAGGCTAGATGTTCTGGGGGAAAAATAAACTCCACTACAAATACCTAGACATGTTGATTGAAACAAACATCTTTTAAATGACTACCCGAATGTGTAAAAAGGTAAGGAAACTCACAAAGGCCAAAACCAAAGAAGACGCTGAAACCAGAATGGTAAATAACCCCTGATGCTGTGGGCTGCCCTAGAAGCACCTGGAAATATCTGAAACCTACAGTCACTGATTTTAACAGCCATGCAAAAAAGAGAAGGCAGGGCCCTGGGTCCATGCCGGCAAGATGAGGTGTCAGGACTGAGACTCTTGGAAAAGCTAGCATCGTTGAAGAGCTAACTCTTGGTAAAAAGGTGGCATAGAAAAAGAAACTAACAAGAAAATGTGTCTATCCTGGCCTCAGCTTTGGGTTAAAAAAAGAGAAAGAGAAGGAGGAGGAGGAGGAGGAGGAGAAGGGAGAAGAGAAGGAAGAGAAAAATGAAGACAGATATTTCACTCTTCCCTCCCCCTGAAAATGTAAAGGCCGTCCTCACATGGATTTCGGGTCTGGATTTACACTTCCTGAAGAATATCCAAGCTGAGAAATATTTTAGTGTGTTTCCAAGATGGAAACAAGCAGTCCAGGGCCCCTGACAGATCTCTCCAGAGGACTAACCCTGAGCCCAGGCCTCTCAGGATTCCCACAGACTGAGATCTGCAAAACATGAGCTCACCATAAAAATTGAGCCTGCACAAGAGAAGCAATCCATCATGAGCAAGTGTCAGCAGGAGCAGCAGATGTCAGAATTAGACCACCAAAGATGTCACATTATGGGATTATCAGGAACAGGATTCAAAGTTGTGTTTTCAATGTTTACGGGAATAAAAGGGGAAATTAAACACACATGCAGGGAACGTAAAAGTATCCAAGATGACCAAACAGATGTGACACCAAATACATAACAAAATGAAATGTATAATTATTACATTTTTTAAAGTAAAAAATGGAGTAAACATCAGATTAGGCACATTTGCAAAGGAATTCATAAATTGAAAAAAAAAAAGTTGAGGGAATCATCCATAAATGTAGCTCAGAGAGATAAAGAGATGGAAAATGAGTCAAAATTCCTCTCCAGCCCTTCTGGAGAAGAGCCGTGAGCTGGATCATGTCCCGCAGGCAGATATGGACGGAAGAACAGACACTGAGCTGGAGGCGGCAGGGGTACTTCCTCTGCCCAAATGATGCTTCCCTCTGCCCAGCCCTTGCATCATCTTTGAGAGGGAATAGGGGATAATGGGGTTGGGGTGGGGGGCGCAAGGCTGTTCTCTGGGATTTCAGTATCACACTTCCCCTTAAAATTCTCAGAATGGGCCAGACACAGTGGCTCACACCTGTCATCTCAGCACTTTCAGACGCCAAAGTGGGTGGATCACGAGGTCAGGAGTTTGAGACAAGCCTGAGCAACATGGTGAAACCCCGTCCTACTAAAAATACAAAAATTAGCCGGGCATGGTGGCATGTGCCTATAATCCCAGCTACTCAGGAGGCTGAGACAGGAGAATCGCTTGAACTTGGGAGGTAGAGGTTGCAGTGAGCTGAGATCGCGCCACTGCACTCCATCCTGGGTGACAGAGCAAGACTCCGTCTAAAAAAAAAAAAAAGATTCTCAAAATGTCTGTCCGCTAGGAATTTTCCTCAACCTAAGCCTTTTGGGAAGAGATACGGTTTCCAGTTTGTTCCCTGTGGGCAAATCCTTTCCCCCTCTTGGACTCATCTGTGCAGTAGCTGGGTCTCTAAGGTCACTGTCAACTCTAATATTCTATTCCGTTATGACATCTGGAGGTGACAGGTATGATATGTGCCCTACTGACTCACCTCTATACCCAGGGCGAGTCAGAGATCCAGGGATGCTTAGGAAGAGCCCTGCCTGTCCAAAACACAATTTCAGTGCACAGCCTGAAACTCCACAATTAGAGAGTCATTTATCTGGAGGTAAACATCGTCCTAATTAGATTCCAATTTTTTTTTTCTTGGAGGTGCTGGGTAAAGGATAAAACTAAAGTCATCATCAGTCACAACACCTCCATGTGAGTTATTTTAACAGTCTTTTCAACAAGGCCACAACATGCGAGATGGATTTGACAGGGGGAGCAGAGGGGAAATGTGGTGGGTCAGTCACACCCCAGGGACTGGGCCCTAGTCCTGAGCACAGGAGAGGCAGAGCTGGAAGGTGAACCTTCCACAGCCTCCACCATCCCTCCTTCCTCCAGCCTCTCTGCAACTCAACACCTGCTGGCCAGCAGGCGGCAGTGCACGGATGAAAATGCGCATCTCTGCTGGATTTCCCAGGACCTCCTGGAGTTCACATGACTACTTTTTCTGGTAGCCTGAGTGCTCAGTTTGGAGAGGCGGGCTGCAGACACCAGGGACAGCGGGATGTGGGATGCATTTCCCAAGCCTCTGTAAGTCCAACCCTGGTGGTGGCCCCAGAAGCCAGGCAGCTGGACTGGGAGGGCCGCCTGGAAGATGGGGCACATTCAAGGTTTGTCCTGCCTGACTGAGGGTGAGGGGACATTTGAGGATGAAATGAGACGTCTGCGGTAGAAGTGTCCCTAACCCTCCTGGGGCTGCCCCCTATGAAGTCGATGCTCAGTCTCTATTGTTGCGGGGGCTGGAGGGTAGAGGGCGCTGCAGGGGTGGACAGCTTCACATGTCGGAGACGCTGGAGTGCAGGTGTAGCCCCTGAGCTCTGTCTGGGCACAGTGGCATGTTCATTGAGTGGGGAGGTGGCGTGGGTCCAGCTTGGCCTGGGGAACCAGTCTGAGGCTGGGTGACAGAGCCCTTCACTCTCTACGCCTTACTTCTCAGACCTGTCGAATGACTGTGAGCACTCCCGGGGGACTGATGCCCTGCCGCCGTAGCTCTGTAGAGGTGAGTTCAAAGTTCAGAGGGACAAGGTTGCATGCGTCCCATTCCAGAGTCCTCCCATCCTGTTAGAAGTCCTCCCACCCCTTCCCATTTGGGCGGCTTGTTAATGCTTCCAGGGTGCTGCAGGGCAGTGGGTAGCCTGGCTCTGTATTGACACACGCAGCAGCGCCCTGACTCAATGCTCCTTCCTTTGCCTTCACCTGGCCCAGGTAACCCTCTTGGGCAAGGGAGAAAAGTGAGCTGCTCAAAGAAGATGCTTCCATCAGATACAGGAAAGCAGACACTTTCCATTCCTGCAGGAACGGGGCTCCATCAATGCGGGGAGCCCACGGAGGCCAAGCCAATGGACTGCATATGGAACCCTCTGACTCCATCGAAGGGGTGGGGGACATGCTCCCCCACATTGCCTTCCTTTGGATTCCCCATGCCCACCCTGCGGCAAGGGATGACGAGCAACACTGTGGTCGGCTGCAGCGTCTCCCAAATTCTCAGCTCACAAGGATCTCTGGGTGCTTGTTCACATTCACATTCTCGTTCCAGGGGAGAGCTGGGACCAGTGTCTGGCAAGCACCCTAGGTGACTCTTATGCTTAGGTCAGCTTGGGGCCATGTCCACCTAGAAGATGAAGGAAGAGAAGGAGCCTGGGGGCTTTATGTCCACACAACCTAACCGGAGGCTGCCAATGGAGACTCAGAGCCAGCCCGGGAAGGAAGGAGGTAGGTCTTGGTGGACAATGAGCCAGTCTCAGTCCCACGGCCCCTGCCTGTCCTGGCACGCTCTCTCCCACCTCTTGCCATGACCTGAGAGACCACGCTTGCCAAGGACTCTCATGACCCCTGTGATCAGGTAGCTTGCCTGAGGCCTCTTTTCCTAACCCACAGGGTGATTGTGGTAGGAAGAATAATGGCCCCCACAGCTACCCCTGTCTGAATCCCCAGGTCCTGGCATATGTTACTCTGCAGGGCAAAAGGGACTTTGCAGGTGTGATCAGATTAAGGACCTGGGGATGGGGGGTTGTCCTGGATTGCTCAGCTGGGCCCAATCTAATCACAAGAGTCCTTATAAGAGGGAGTCAGGAGGGTCAGAGGAGTTGAGGACATCACGCTGCTGGCTTTGAAGATGGAGGAAGGAGCTGTGAGCCAAGGGATATGGCCTTTGTTGCCCCTAGAAGCTGGCACAGCCAGAGCCAAGGAAATGTATTGTCCCCCAGAGCCTTCAGGAGGAACCAGCGCTGCCAACACGTTTGTTAGAGACGCAGGAGCATAGGAGAACCAGGGTGACACCATTTTAAAATCAACTCCATCTTGCCTGGATGCAATGGCTCACGCCTGTAATCCTAGCACTTTGGGAGGCTGAGGTGGGTGGATCATTTGAGGTCAGGAGTTCAAGGCTAGCCTGGCCAACATGGTGAAACTCCCTCTCTACTAAAAATACAAAAATTAGTCGGGTGGTGGTGGTGTGTGCCTATAATCCCAGCTACTCTGGAGGCTGAGGCGGGAAAATCCCTTGAGCCTGGGAGGTGGAGGTTGCAGTGAGCCGAGATTGTGCCACTGCACTCCAGTTGGGGCAACAGAGTGAGACCCCGTCTCAAAAATAAATAAATATAAATAAAATCAACTCCATCTTAAAACTAGCAAGGCACATTCCTCGCCAGCCACAACCCATGGTCCTAAGATGTTTACAGCTGAGGAAGCAGCTTGGTAATGCCTACAAAGACACACTCCACCAACAACAGAAAGTCCAGATGTCCCGATACCCTTAACAGTATAGGCTTTCACAAGAATTATAGTTATGCTCTGATGTGCTGACGTAGGAAAATGTCAAGGATAGCTGTCTTTACATCAGTAGAGTAATAAATGTCATGCTGTCAGCCCACCAGTAGGTAGGCACAGCTTTGGTTTAGTCTTTACAGAGGAAGATCCCTATATAAGAAAAACTTAAAGCAAAGATGGTGTTCCTCTGCTTGCTTCCTGAGGGCATTCTACTTTGTAACGCCGCAGTGTCTAATAAACTTGCTTCTTTCTCTACACTTTTCCACTCACCTTGAATTCCTTTCCTGCACACAATCCAGGAACCCTCTCTTGGGGTCTGGATGGAGACCCCTTTTTCCAGTAACACCTTGATTTCGTCCCATTCAGACTTCTGACCCAAAGAACTGTACGATAATAAATGTGTGTTGTTTACAGCTAGTGAGTTGGTGGTGATTTGTCACATCGGCAACTGGAAACTCATATGGTGACTTGGTTGGAAAAAGTTGCTCTCATTATCGTCCCTGCTGAGTATGTGAACACTGGGAGGCAGCAACAATAGCAGCAGCTTAGAAGCCACGGGCCCCCAGCTCACACCCTACTCCCTGTGTGACTTCAAGCAAGTCCTTCTCCTCTCTAAGCCTCCACTTCCCCATCTGTAAAATGGAGATGGTCATTGCATCCACATGACAGCCTGCGTCTGGGAATTAAGTGGTTTGCCCAGAGAACTTCTTCCACCTCCAACTCATTTTTTACCCACCTGAGACTCAAAGTGTCCTGCAGAGAGACATAAGGAGGACAGGGCTCCCTAAGACCTCAGACCCAGCACACAGCCTCGGCCCCAATCTTGCCCAGGGGCACTCTAGGGGCACATTGACAGAGCTGCCCTTGGATTTCCTGCTGTGGCAGCCCATCTGCAGGATCGTCGCATCTGCCACCTACATCCTTGTGGCTCAGCGTTAGCTCTCGGGGAACGGTGGATCACGGCATCAAACCGTGGTTTCATGGAGCCATGGTTTCCAACGTTGACCTGGTGCCTCCAATGCACACAATGTTCTGGAAATCATTTACATTTTTTCCTTGTTCCAGAGCTAAGAAGCCTCTGAATGAAAAGGAAGGTGATCCTGTTCAAAGAGGCTTTCTGGGCTGGGAGCAGGATGGTGTGGTCAGGGAGGTTCAGCCCTTTGGCCTCTGGAGAGGAGGGCTTGGGTGGGGCCTGAGAGAGGGGCTGGGGACAGGCTGGCAGACAGGCCCCACTGCATTCTCTCAGAGGGGCTACTACCCTCTCCGGGGAGCCTGCTGTCAAATACGCACCATTCATAATCAGATAGAACAGCATTGCAGCTCTAAAGTCAGGCCAATCAGTGCTCAAACTCTGGTGGTGTCACCCACCAGCTGCATGGTGTCAGGCGAGTGACTTAAACTCTCCGAGCCTACATTTTCTCAGTTGCAATTTTATATAAATGCACACAAGTCCCTCTGTTTCCTGTCCCGAAAAGAACTGGAAATTGAGACCTGCCCTCCATGAAAGGGCTTCTGATCTCAGAGGAAGGTTTGTGCAAGGTAGCAGAGACCATTCTCTGAGGGATGGCTCCAGCCAGGCGGCCTCCTGTTCCATCTGCAGGTGAGGCTGGCTGAGGGCAGCATCCCTGTGGCACTGAGGCCAGGACATCCCGCAGCTCCTGCCTGGCTCCTGATGCCTTCTGCTGGCATCATCAGGAAAGAAGAAGGCAGGTTGGCAGTTCAGGGTCAAAGGAGAGTTCCTGAGGCTTGACATGGCCAGCCCTTTTCCCCTGGGACAGAAGCCTGAGATAGCCAATTGTGGTAAGAAATAGGGACCAAGACTCCACCACTACACACAACATCCTTCCCTGCCAGAGCAGGAATCCTGCCGTCTCCCTACAGCCACCCATTCAGCCTGCCCTGACATCTCTCCAAATCTGCAGCTTCTTAACCCAGTTTCTAGAAATGCGCATACTGGGAGCAGTGTGTGGAAAGGGTGGGGTGAGCCCCTTCCCTCCCTCCAATCTCAGTGTCCCAAAATCACTAGGCCAAGTCCATGGGTGTAACCGAGTATTGGGACTCTGCTCTTGGGGGAGGCTATTGCTCAGAGGGAAGTGATTTGAAAATCAAATCGGTGAGGCCAGAACATTCCATTCTTCAGCTAAGCAGTTTCCAACCAGGGCATGCAAATGAGCCATCTGAGGCATAAAAGCCCCTGGAGGCTTGGTCTGGGGGCCCTTGGCAGGGGCACCGTCCTAACACTTGCTCGTTGTCGTGAGAAGTGAGGCTAGCCAGGCCTCTTCTCTTCTGCTCAGCCGGAAGAGAACAAGTGTTTATGGAGTGTTGGCTGTGTGCTGAGCACCTTCCTGTATATTATATCAGTTACTCTTGCTGACCAGCCTGTGACTGAGGTATTCATAGCTCTGTTTTGTCGATGAGTAAATGAGGCTCAGGGAGGTTAAGTTAATGGTTCAAGTTTCCGCAGTCTGGGTCAAGTGCAGGCTGTCCGGCTCTGAAGCCCCCGTCCTTCCGCTCCCCATGCATGTCCGTCACCCTACCCTGTCTCTGTCCCTCTTGGCATCATCCTGCTATCTCAACACCACACTGCCCTCCTTTTTCAACAACGCCGGGCTCCCCTTTCTCTCTCTCTCTCTCTTCCTCTCTCTCTCTTCTCTCTCTTTGTCTATCTCTGTCAATCCTAATCTCACTTGCTCTCACTCTTAAGCCACCTGCCCCCAATTCACACACAGCAAATCCTCCCTGAAATGGAGGCATGGCTGAGATTCTTTCTGGCTCTAAATTTATACAAATCCCCCTCACACTCTCTCTCAGCTTGGCCCTGCTACATGCGCAGTCTTAAGAGAGTGCTCGTGCTGTCCCCTGAGCCCCTGTTTCCTCCTCTGTAAGAGGTTGCAATGATACCTACCTCTCAGGACAGTCACCAGGAGCAATGGACATGAAGCCTCCAGCCCCAGCTGTGCATCTCAGGGCTTCATCTCACTGGCTCCCTGTCCCGAGGGAGTCATGGTGGCAGCTGGGTGGGGTGCTGGGGCCACAGTGGGCAGGGCAACACCTGTGGATGAGGAGCTGTCACCCTCCACCCGATCTCCAGTAGGTACATTCACCTGTGCTCTGCAGCAGCCATGCGTACCCAGACAGTGACAGGCGGTGTTTGGGATGCAAAGTTAGCGCTGCCTCCAGGGAACTCACACACAACCACCTATTTCCATAGGGGTGACTCCCATGGAGACACCCGTGGACACCAGGACCTGGTTTGTAGGCATTTCTCTGGCCCTACCAGCACTGCAGTGTGAAGGGTCTGTGGGACTGAGATCCTGTAGAAGCTGTGCCTGGAGATTCACAGGGCAAACTGAGGAGAAGCTCGGTTTTTCTAACAGATGTCCAGCCCAGGCTTCTTCCTTCTTTTGTGCCCTCACCCCATCTGCCACAGGCTTGGGCCCCTGTAAATGTTCACTCCCAGACCCTGGTCAACCCCGAGGAGTAATCAGTGATTATCATCTCTGAACAAAGCTGTTTACCCATTGTTTTATTTCCCAGTATGAAAAGGGGGAAACCCACCTATGGTGCAGAGGGCTAGGGAGAGCTAACGCCAGTCACTTTGCATTCTGGGACATGCTGGACGGAAGGGTCGGCTGGTGCATGAAGGGTGAGCTCTCTGGGCATCCCGGGGTAGGGAGGGCTCCAGCTGAGGTGCAGCTGGATGCATTGTGGGGCTATGGGCCAGGAGCATCTGCTTGGATTTGTCATTTGCTACCACCTCCCAGAAAGCAGAGAGATATGCTGAGGAGCTGTAGCACCAACAGTCTCTGCTTACTTGGTTTATCCAGGTTTTCCTGCACTTGTTCAGTATCATTGACGAGGTGGAATAGAGGGGTTAGCACATCTCTCAAGACTTTCTTACTGACTCTGGTCACAGACACAAAGGTAGACACAGGGTGTGGTGGAGAAGGAATTGACTCCAGGAGCTGGTGGAGAAGGTTGAGATGAGGAAGGATGGAAACAGCCTCTGCCCTGCTTGCCGGTCACTATGCTGCCCACAGCCACAGCCTTTGTTTTCTTTCTGCAGCTCTGTGAGGTTCGACCACATGGTCTTTAAGGTTTCTGCCAGCTGTAAAGTTCTGTGACTTGGGGAATCACTGAGAAGCAGATAGAAAGAAGGTGAGCCAAGAATCACCCAGGAGCACAACTAATGCAACAGCAATCAAAATTCTCAGGTTTCCCCAGAGCCTGGGAAGATACCCTGAGCTGTGTGCTCTACAAAAAGCCATGCAGTAAGGCCTTCTGGTTGGGGATTTTTCCATATGCCTTATCTTGGAAGCTGGAAATAGCATCTGTACTTGGAAGCAAGCAAGCGAATGGTTTATGGGCGGACCTGGCTCCTACAAGGTCCTGTTGCTGGTTCTCTGGCAGGTGGCTGGAGCCTGAGTCACCCTGGTCATGTATAACGGGCAGGGGTGGAGGATGCGGGGTGGGGGGTGAGGTCTTCAGGCTCAGAGAGTTTCCAGGGGCTTGAAGTCCATGAATAAACACATCTCTAATCTTTCCAGACTTTGCATGATGTAGTCCTCTATTTTTAGTGAAAAAAACCCCAAAAACCAACCAAACAAAAAAACATGTATAGTGTAAAGAGCTTTAGCCAAGGTTCAGTTTGAACACCTAGGCCATCTTCAAAGCCCCTGCTCAGCTGCTGCGCTGCGTCAGGTATTTTCCATGTGGTTGTGTGACAATCTCTTTGTGACACTCTTCCACCGATACTGTCTTCCAGCAGTCTGTCCATGATGAATCACACACACCAGCAGCACCAAAACAGGTGATGGCCTGAAAGACCCCTGTTGAATGTACTCCATTGCTGTGATCTCCTTCCTACCCTAATGACCTAATGATTAAATTCACTGTGAGAAATTTATTACTTTCTTTAACAAGTGAAACATTGGCAAGGAAAATTACCCATGATCTCTCATAACATTTGCAAGGCAGCGTACTGAAAGGGTGCTTTGGCCATAATTAGGTATAAGCGAAACTGGATCTATTAACCAACACTTAGACTATGCCCTTTTACATTCTTTGGTGAAGGAAAACTTTGGTCTACTCCCTCTTTCTTTTTGGTCCTTCTTTTTCCAAAAATAATGGTAAGATTTGCTTGCAGCTTTGGGAGCACCTTTCTGTCTCATTCAGTGTGTGCATATGTGTGTATGCGTGTGCGGACGTGTGTTCAGACTCCTTCCTGATTCTAAGTCATGGACCATTAATAATGTCT